AACTCTACCAAAGAACTCCTACAGCTGATAAACACCTTTAGTAACGTGGCAGGATACAAGATCAACTCCAAAAAATCAGTGGCCCTCCTATACACGAAGTATAAAGAAGCTGAGAGGGAAATCAGAGAAACATCACCTTTCACGATAGCCACAAATAGCATAAAATATCTTGGGGTTACTCTAACCAAGGAAGTGAAAGACCTATTTGACAAGAACTTTAAGTCTTTGAAGAAAGAAATTGAGGAGGATACCAGAAAATGGAAAGATCTCCCTTGTTCTTGGATTGGGAGGATCAACATAGTAAAAATGGCAATTCTACCAAAAGCAATCTATAGATTCAATGCAATCCCCATCAATATCCCATCAAACTTCTTCACAGACCTTGTGAAAACAATAATCAAGTTTATTTGGAAAAACAAAAAACCCAGGATAGCCAAAACAATCTTATACAACAAAGGAACTTCAGGAGGCATTACCATCCCTGACTTCAAACTCTATTACAGAGCTACAGTATTGAAAACAGCTTGGTATTGGCATAAGAACAGAGAAGTCGACCTATGGAATCGAATAGAAGACCCGGATATTAACCCACAAACCTATGAGCACCTAATTTTTGACAAGGGAGCTAAAGGTATACAATGGAAGAAGGAAAGCATCTTTAACAAATGGTGCTGGCATAACTGGATGTCAACCTGTAGAAGGATGAAAGTAGATCCATACCTATCACCATGCACAAAACTCAGGTCCAAATGGATTAAAGACATCAACATTAATCCGTCCACTTTGAACCTGATAGAAGTGAAAGTGGGAAGTAGTCTACAAGATATAGGCACAGGAGGCCTCTTCCTAAGTAGGACCCCAGCAGCACAGACAATAAGAGAAACAATGAATAAATGGGATCTACTGAAACTGAGAAGCTTCTGTAAAGCAAAGGACACTGTCAGTAAGACAAAAAGGCTGCCTTCTGACTGGGAGAAGATCTTCACCAACCCCTCATCAGACAAAGGTCTGATCTCCAAAATATACAAAGAACTCAAGAAACTAGGCACTAAATCTCTAAATAACCCAATTAAAAAATGGGGTACTGAACTGAACAGAGAATTCACAACAGATGAACTTCGAATGGCCAGAAGACACTTAAGGTCATGCTCAACCTCCTTAGCGATCAGGGAAATGCAAATCAAAACCACTTTGAGATACCATCTTACACCTGTCAGAATAGCTAAAGTCAAAAACACCAATGATAGCCTATGCTAGAGAGGATGTGGGGTGAGGGGAACACTCATCCATTGTTGGTGGGAATGCAAACTTGTGCAGCCACTGTGGAAATCAGTGTGGCGGTTTCTCAGGAAACTGGGAGTCAACCTCCCTCAGGACCCAGCAATTCCACTCTTGGGAATTTACCCTAGAGATTCCCTAGCATACAACAAAAGCATTTGTTCAACTATGTTCATAGCAGCACTATTTGTAATAGCCAGAACCTGGAAACAGCCGAGGTGCCCCTCAATAGAAGAATGGTTAAAAAAGGTGTGGAACATATACACGTTAGAGTTTTACTCAGCGGTAAAAAATAATGACATCTTGAATTTTGCATGCAAATGGATGGACATAGAAAACGCTTTACTGAGTGAGGTAAGCCAGACCCAAAAAGAGGAACACGGTATGTATTCACTCATAAGTGGATTCTAACCATAATTTAAAGGTATTTGAGCCTATTTTTCGTGATCCTAGAGAAGCTAAATAAGAAGACGATCCTGATGAAGATTATTTAGCTATCTGCCAGGAGGTAGGAAATAGTCAAGAGTCCCAGGTAACCTTGGGTGCATGGGGGGGGGTGGGAGGGTTGTTGGAAGGGGAGAGGGTTAGAGAGAAAGGAGTAGGGGAGGAATGGAGAAAGTTCGGTTGACCGGGATGGGGGGAAGGGAGGAAGGATGAATAAGGGATCAGGGAAGAATATATTTCAACTAAGGGAGTCATTTTAGGGTTTATAGGAAACTTGATTATATATGGGATCCCAGGTCCAAGGAGAGATCCTCAGATTGTTCTCTGGACAGAGGAGAGGGTGCCTGAACCGGCCTTGGCCCACAACCATACTGATGAATATTTTGCATGTCACCATAGAACCCTCATCTGGCGATGGATGGAGATGGAGGCGGAGAACCACGTTGGAACACTGGACCTAGCTCCCTAGGTCCAAATGAGAGGCAGAAGGAAAGAGATCGTGAGCAATGAAGGCAAGGGCACAGGAAACCTTCATCCGACGTTGGATGGCGATACAGATGGAGTCCCATATTGGAACACCGAACTGAGCACTCCACAGTCCAAATGAGGAACAGAATGATGAAGAAAATAAAAAAAGTAATCAGGACTGCGAGGGATGCGATCACCCACTGATACAAGGGGACTGATATAATGGGAGTTCACCAAGGCCTGTTGGACTGGGACTGAACGAGGACATGATCCAGCCAGATTCTCTGAATGTGGCTGGCCCGGAGCCTTTTTGAAAAGCCGTTGACAATGACACTGGGACTTGCTTCCTCTGCATGTACTGGATTTTGGCGCTCCAGTCTGTTTGGACTCTCACCTTCCCTGGACCTGGAGGGAGGGGGGAGGAACTCGGGCTTCCCACAGGGCAGGAAACCCTGACTGCTCTGGGGGATGGAGAGGGAGGGGGAGAGGGAGTGGGGGGAGTGGGAGGGTGGTGGGAGGAGGGGCTGAAATGGAAACTTTTATAATTTAATAATAAAAAAAGACAAAAAAAAAGACTGAGTTCTTATAAATCAACTAGAGAAGATGTACTTAGTATTTTTACTAATGAATACAACCTACCCCAATTATATGAGAGCATAATATATACAATCTCATTAAAAGTGAAATAATGAAATTTTCCCAAATTTGTTACCAAAAACCTTAAATGCACATATCTTTTTCCTTAGTAACTGTGCCTCTAAGAACCATCCAACAGAGAGGCACACAAAGGTAAGAAGCTGTATTTCACTTACTGTGTTTATTACAGGATAATATAAGAAAATACTGTTAGAGCACCATTAACTGGTACTGGCTAGTTAAGGAAGGTTGGGGGAAAATGAAACAATAACAAAAAAAACCACACAATGTCAAATTGTGGCCTTGAAAACAATTCACTCTTCAGTGAAAAGCCTCTGCAAATGGCTTTTTTTTCTAAATGCAAGTAAAGTTATTTCCCATAAAAGATATAAAACTATGATAGCTTTGCATTCATCTTGGTTTTTAAATCCATAAAATAACTTAAAAAAGACTTATGTGTTACTATCTTGAGACTGTACTGAGTTTTAAATTGTGTTTTTATTGTTTGAATTCCTGTAGGATGCAGTTCTTTGTAAATACTACTCAACTTAGTGTATATTATTCTTTAAATATGAATTTTAGCTATCCAATCAACACAGAGTAAAGTAGGAGGGGTAAAGTCATCATAATTATGCAATTTCTGAGAATTCCTGAGGTATTGATTTATTGTCCCTGAGTCTCAGAGAGCAACATGCCAGGAATTTGAACACCCTGAGAAACTTGTGCAGCAACTGTGGAAATCAGTGGAAATCCCCCCAAGACTGAAAACAGAACCACCCTGTCATCCTTCTACAGGACTAAGCCAACACACCGCAGAGCTATCTGTACATCCAAGCTTAGAGCTATCCTATGACAGTTGCCAGGAAACGGAAGCAGCCCTGATGTCCATCAATAAATGAATTAATAAAGAAAATACAGTAAACAGGCTAGATGACCCAGAGACGTAGGATTGAACCAAACATGGCTAGAGGGGAGAAAATGTCAACGTAATGATGTCTAACGATATTCTGCTACACAAACAAATTGGTGCCTAGCCCAATTGTCATCAGAGAGGCTTCATCCAGCAACTGATAGAAACAGGTGAAGACCCACAGCCAAACATTAGGTGGAACTCAGGAAATCCTGCAGAAGAGGGAGAGAAAGGATTATAGGAGCCAGAGGGGTCAAGGATACCACAAGAAAACTCACAGAATCAACTAATGTGGGTTCAGAGGGGCTCACAGAGACTGAACCAACAACCAGAGAGGCTGCAGGGGACTAACCTAGGCCCTCCGCATATGTGTTACAGTTGTGCAGCTTGGTCTCCTGTGGGACTCCTAACAGTGGGAGCAGGGGCTGTGTCCAACTCTCTGACTTCTGGGACTCCTCTCCCCATATTGGGCTGCCTTGCTCAGCCTTAATACACGGGAGGTACACAGTCTGACTGCAGCTTGATATGCTAGGTTTCGTTGGGACTCACAGGAGAACTACCTTTTCCTACACAGAAACAGAGGAAAAGTGGATTAGGGGTGGGAGCAGAGGGGAATTGGGGGTGGGACTGGGAAGAGAAGAGGAGGGAAATTGTAATCAGGATGTAAAATAAAAATATTTTTTAAAAAAGAAAGAAAAAAAACTAGCCTAAGCCATTTGGCTGTTTTTTTTAAAAAGAAAAAAGAAAATGTGGTACGTAGATATACACAAGGGAATTTTACATAAAGAAAAATAAAATCATGATATTTTCAGAAAATAGATGTAAATGGAATTATGTTATATGAAATAAGCCAGACTCAGAGACAAATATCACGTTGTTTCTCATACAGGGAACTTAACGTTTAGATTATATACATATGCATAGCTCTATCTTTACGTCTGTATTTGCAGAACATGACTGGAGAAGGAACCATAAGAGGGGGAGAGGAGATCCTAAGGGGTGGGCACATCAGAAGACATGTGGTAAGAGGTACTAACCGGAGGGCAGGGAGGAGGACAGCGGGGTGGGGAGCACACAGCAAAGTACGACACACACATTTCAAGAGACCACATAGAACCTCTTGTTCTGTGTGCCGACCTAAATAATAACTTCTGAAAACAGCCGCCATTTAAAAGCCGAAACAGTGTCTGGTGTGTAGAGTTAGCGTGTTGTGATTAGGAGGGAACGAAAGTATCATTTCTTTCCATATATAAAGCACACTCACTTGATTCTACCGTCATCTGAAGCAGACTATCGATGACATTGGACAAGAGCCCTTTACTGGATATCCTCAAGTGTTTCAGTATCACCGGAACCGCTTGGTACTCCAAAAATAAGGTTTTTCCTTCATCTGTCTTCAAGTCCAAACAAAGGGAATCAAATGCTTGAGCTAGGTAGTCCACTAAAAATAACACAAATAACCACCTCTGTATCAGTTATTAAATCAGAAACACAAGAACCACCAAACACAAAGAACCACCGTTTTAATAAAATAAACATGTAAAAAAAAATTTAAATGACAAGAAATCACAAACTAAATTTAGATTCATCCCGTCACTGTTTTGTTAGAACTCAATGGGGAAGGAGAGGAAATTCATTTAGTGCTCACATCTTACTACTAAAATAATCAGTCCCGTTTTGTTTTTTATACTCAGAAAGAAAAATGATGATTAATATTAAATAGCACAGTAGCATATATTTCCATATTTGGTTGTAATTACATTTTCCCACAAACTTAAACAGAATCATATTTGTATCTTTAAAAAAGCTCCTAAGATCATATGTCTTATTGCTGACTTCCAAATGCTTCCCTATTTAAGATTGTAACTATACACAAATTTGCTCAGTGAGTTTTAAGCAAGGATTTCTGTCTCCTACTAAAGAGCAAATATATCATTCAAAGCCTGGGCTAAGCTCCAGTCCACTACATTTGGTGACTCCTCCATTATTATGAACAACAGCAAGATTTTACCAAGACCCGCACTAGAATGGCACTTTGAGATCAGAGTCCATAACCCCCTTTAAAATGTTCCACACGTGACTGGAGAGCCACTAAATCGAGAAAAGCACTAATTAGAATCAATGCAAGTAAAATATCAGAGATTTCCACCATTACATTTGGGTCATTACATTGACTCAGCAGATACCCCCATTATGACATTTACAATAGTTTTACACTGCTTTTAAATATGTAAAGTTTATTTTTCAAAATGTTCCTTCAGTAGATGATTCCAAGAAACAACAACAACAAAAAATCATGCTGCTCACATAACACTGAGTTACCTTTTTTGTTGTTCTTGTTTAAAAATCTATTTAAAGAAGGCTTAACAGAGTGTCTTGGACCTGTGTAGGATCAATCTTTCATAAAGCACACAGAGGTAAGTAGATCATTGTGAGTTCCAAGCCAGGTGGGGCTACATAGCCAGACCATCTTAAAAAATAAAAAATAAAAATTAAAGAAAAAAAGTGTCTTGGCCCCAAATTCATATGGCACTAAATGGAATGTGGTGCCAGGTATGAGCTACCTCCCTGAGTTGTTGGTTGGGGGTGGAAGGGGCTGGAGATCACTGGTACAGGCTACTGTCATTGCTCTTAGCTACCCCTCAGAACTAAAAGATAAGACAGACCCTAAGGCTGAAGACATCACACTTTCGCAGCAGAAAGTGGAGAACCCAAGCTGGCCCAAGGCTTCCTTGCTGGCTTTCTCAGGACTGGAAAGTGCCACTCAGGCTGATGGAGGAGAAACGTCAGTGTTATGCAGCTGTGAGACTTACGAGCTACAGTACCAACCTGCCAGGCAGGCTGTGCCCACTGGAGCAACAAAGGCAGGACTGTTATGTTCTCGGGAAGCCCAGTTCCCAGCTCCCATGTGGGGTGGCTCACGACCACCTGCAGCTCCAGTTTCATGAGATCCGACACCTCTGACTCTCACACGCACACACTCTCACATAGACACATATACAAAATTAAGAATAATAAAAGTAGATGGGCAGTGGTGGTGCACACCTTTAATCCCAGCACTCAGGAGGCAGAGGCAGGTGGCTCTCTGAGTTCAAGACCAGCCTGGTCTACAGAGTGAGTTTCAAGATAGGACAGCCGGGACTATACAGAGAAACCCTGTCTCAAAAACCAAGTAATAATAATAAAACTTTAAAATACGTAAGGAAGAATTTTGAGAAACTCTAATCTGTATCCATTTATAGTACATTATTTTTATTTCTTAAAGAGTTTAGTTCAAAGAACACTAATATCACTTTACTTAAATTTTTTACTTTAAGTAAAAACAACAACAACAAAACCCTCTGCAAACAAATGCATATTAAGCAAAGTTGCAAGTGCTGTTCAGGTGTGCCTGGCTCTCAACTTCATGTGTGCATGTGCTTACCTGTTGATGTGCCTGCTGAGGACATTGACGTTAGGTGTCTTTCCTTATTTTTGAAATTAAAATATACATCATTTTCCCTTTCTCATTCCTTCCTCCACCTCTGCCTATGTGCAACCCTGCTCTCAAATTCATGGCCTCAGGCCTCTTTTTCTTAAATTGTTTTGAGCCAGGGGCTCTCACTGAACTTGAATCTCGACATAATGGCTAGAGGTGGGCAGTGAGTCCAGGCGTTGCATGTGTCTCCAGCCCTCAGTGCTGGGGTTAGAGAGGGGCACTGCTATGCCTGGCTTCCATACTCATGTAAGAGACCTACACTCAGGTCCTTATGCCTACCCAGAAGACACGTTTGCCACCAAGTCACCTCCCTGGCCCAAACTTTTTTAAAAAGCAACAACTCAGAATAGACAAATCCTGATTTCTTCACAGGAACAAGTTTTACAACAGTGCCCCCTACTGCATTTAAAATTACTTGCAACAGCTCACATGGTTAAGTGTATTGACTGTTGCAGGGTTGTTGAGAAAGGGTTTTCTAACTGTATAAACTCTGCCTGGTCTGGAACATCACGTGTAGGTCAAGCTAGCTTAAGTTTGCCTTAGTTCTCTTCCCTTGGTTTCCCTAGTGATGATTATATGTGCTCATCCTGCATCCTGCTTCGTGTACTTTTTTTTAATTTTTAATTTACAAGCCTAAAAGATTATCCTCTATCCCCCTTCCCCAGTCTCTCTCTAATCTTACTGATCTTTTTGCTTATAGATTATGGTTTCCTATTTTGTATTTTTATGGGTTTTGTATGTGTGTGTGCATTTGTGTTTCTTACGGTTTTTTTTTCTTTCTTTTTTAAAATTCTGGTTAGTTTTGTCTGTTTTCTAAAAAGAAAAACAAGTCATGGAGTGGGATGAGTGTGGAGTGGGGAGGATCTTAGAGGAGGTAAGGAAGGGTAAACCACGATCAGAATATAATATATGAAAAACATGTTTTCAGTTTTTAAAAATGCGGGAAAGAGTTGTCCCTTAACAGTCACAGTAGAAAAATAGCATTTGGTTATTTTTTCTAAAGTGGCTTGGCCTTGCTATTATGTGAGGAGCTGAGGGATTATGCATGAGTGTGGGTGCCTGCGGAGGCCAGAAAGGGTGCGACCCTCTGGAACTGGAGTCGCAGAGCTGTGAGCTACTCCACATGGCTGCTGGGAGCCAAACTGGTCCTCTGCTAGGGCAGCAAGTGCTCTTAGCCGCTGAGCACCTATAGAGCGGCCTTAGCCTTAGAAAGATAAATCAAAGGCTTTCCAAACATCTCAGCCACCGCATCAAAACTAACGAGAGCTAGAGTTAGCTCACTGGTTAACAGCACTGATTGCTCTTGCAGAGGACCTGACCTGAATTCAGCTCCCAGCACCCATGTTAGGTGGCTCACAACCACCTCTACCTCCAGTTCCAGGGGCTCCAATGTCCTCTTTTGGACTCCAAGGGCCTGGCGGTGTTCAATCCAGATGTCAGCTGAGACAGGAAAAATTACTGAAAGCCTTGGTTGCGGGGGGAGGACTAGGTCCCAATGAGCACTCTGAGCTCCACATGGTGAACGTGGACTACAGCAAACTGGATAGAGAGCCCCGTTCCCAAACCACATCCTTCACCATGAAGCTGCTTACAGTGAAGGCAGTTCCGAGGCCACCACAAGCTTCCATTTAAAAGAAAGTATTTTGCCTCTGAACACAGGAAATCATGTTGACATTTTAGAGTTTATTACACTGATCAATAAAAGTCTGAAAGTTGGGAAAACTGTAGTATGAAGAACATTTATAAGGCTGGGCACTGGAAAGACAGCACAGTGGTAAGTAAATAAAAGAAGTAGGTAAATGTGCTACATTGCAAGGTTGTTTTTCTTTTTCTAATAAGGTCCTGGCATTCAAGCAAATCTTTGCATTCTTTACCAAAACCCAATATGTTTATTTTAATCTAGTTTTTCTTCATTTAGTCTACTTGGAGATTTAAAGGGGGGAGGGACTCTCTGCAGCAACACTTATGAAAAAGGAGCTCTGTTGCACACCTCTAACCCTTGCCTAACCTGGAGGCTTGGCCACAGCACAGTAAAAATGCCATGCAGACAGCCACCCAGCCTCACGCACTCACGAGTCTTCTGGAAGAAGACCCAAAATAAATTCCATGATGAGAGGCCAATGGGGAACAAGGAAGATCAGTCCAGAAGAGAGGTGGCTGAGCCCAGGCCCAAATTTCCAATGCAAGGATCTCTAAGTTAGCCAATTGAATTCATTTTTTAAATATTTTGTTTTGCTTTCTTTTCTGCGTATGTGTGCTCTTGCATGCAAGAGCAGCAAGTACTCTTAAATGCTCAGCCACCTTTCCAGCCCCATATATGCTGTTTTAAGTCACTAATTGCTTGGTATTTTATTAGACAGCAAAAGACTGCTAATGAATCTAACTTAATTGTGATCTCAAGTAAAACCAATTCCTAAATAAATTAATAAGCAATGTTTATTGCTAATGGTAAAAGCTAGCTAATTAAGAATTTACTATATGATAAACTTTTGCTGAATTTTTACATTAACTCTTTCATTTAAGCTTTAAAAAGTAAACTGTGAACTAGGCCAGTGCTCGGGAGGATGAGGGAAGAGGATCTGGAGCTCCAGGTGAGCCTTGACACAAAATGACACGTCTCAACCCCACATCTACACATACAGTGATGGAAACAGAAAGCAAGTGATCTGCCCCACGTCACAAAGTCGTGAGGCTCAGGTTAAAAGTTGTTTGTGGGGCTGGAGGGGTGGCTCAGCAGCTAAGAGCACTTGCAGAGGACCCAGGTTTAGTTCCCAGCCCCCTCACGGCAGTTCACAGCCTGTTGTGGAAATTACTTAACTATGTAAAGATGTGTTACATTTGTTTGTGCTTCATTGGTTTAATGATGTAAGGATGTTTTACACTTATTTATGCTGTATTTGTTTAATTATGAAAAAATGTATTGCTGTTTCACCTTGCCTGTCTAAGGCACCTTATTGGTCTAA